CCTTCAAAACCTTTTTTTTTGTTCCTGTAGTCCTCTTTCTTTGAACCTATCAACCACTACAAGGTCCTATACCCCTCCATATTATCTTTTCTTGTGTTTATTAACTTTAGCTACTCTTCCATTGGTTCCTATCAACCACTACAAGGTCCCCTTCCTTTACCCCTTCATATTATCTTTTCTTGTGTTTATTAACTTTAGCTACTCTTCCATTGGTTCCTATCAACCACTGCAAGGTCCCCTTTCTTTACCCCTTCATATTATCTTTTCTTGTGTTATTAACTTTAGCTACTCTTCCATTGGTTCCTATCAACCACTACAAGGTCCCCTTCCTATACCCCTTTATATTATCTTTTCTCGTGTTTATTAACTTTAGCTACTCTTCCATTGGTTCCTATCTCCAGCTATGCTTCACTAGCTTCTTTTCTTCCTATTTTCTTAGGTTTATTCACTATAAATAGCTTGGGCACAATCACATTTGCCACAAATTAAGATTTTCTATTCCCTCTATCTTTGTAACCTGATGGTGTAAACCATTAACATTTCGAACTTGGATTATTTGAGATAACCGAATTCATTGTTTGAAATATCTAAGGTCCACAACAATGGGTTGCAAAGATATAAATCTACGTCCATGATGAATAAAACAATTAATTTTATCATCGTTAATATTATTTACAAGATAGATAGAATATGGATTCATGCAGCTGAGACAATGAAGGAAATTGGCAGAAAAAGGATGATGGTGGGGTTTTGTTTGTTTGTTTCTCAATTAAAAGTTTATAGAATATCGTCTTCAACTCGGGTTTTTATTTAGGGTTCAATAGATATTACGCCGAAAGTTCCTTTAAACTGAAATTCACTATAAACTATCCCTTTAAGATTTCCAATATCATGACGTGTCTCTCTTTTTTATCTTTACTTTGTCCATTCCATTCTGTTAATCCATAAATCTTCTCACTCCCTTCCTTTTCTTACCAGAATCCCCACCTTTATTCCCCCCGGGGTTTGCCAGACCAGGGCCGGGTAGAGCCGGGTAGAGCCGGCCAATTCTTGAATAATTTTTGGTGGATTTTTCTCCAGCGTGATAATGTGTAATGGACGAGGCGAGGGAAGATAGATAGATAGATAGGTGACGGAGAGAGAGATAGATAGATAGGTGTCGGAGAGAGAATGTTTCCTATATTGAGGAACACATCTGGATCCGTTTATCAGGGTATACAGTTTACAGGATACCTTGATACAGATACAACCAACTAGAGGATACAGTTTACAGGATACCTTGATACAGTTACAACCAACTAGAGGATACAGTTTACAGGATACCTTGATACAGATACAACCAACTAGAGGATACAGTTTACAGGGTACCTTCATACAGATACAACCAACTGTTACAGTTTACAGGATACCTTGATACAGATACAACCAAGTAGAGAATACAGTTTACAGGATACAGGTACAGGTCACTATACTCTTTCAATTTTTCGAACACTCCCTTTAAAACATTTAGGATTTTTTCATTTCAGGGTTAAAATTGATTCCCTCTAGGTTTCCTTTTTATCTCCAGGCATTCGCTTTTCTCTTAATTATTTTGTTACTGGATCTTTTTCCTCAGTTGGAGGTGGAAAGTTCAAAATTGAAGAAATTTTATTTTTGTGTTCCTTCTGTTTTGCATTCATTATTAAACTAAACTGTTTTTAAAAGGTGTAAAATTAGAAGCAATTATCGAAACCTGATATATTTATTTCTTAGTGCAATTAAACAATTTAAATTCTTCTTCATAAAATATTAATTTTGATCTAAATTGATAAAATTAATGGAAATTAGCAGAAAACTGATGATTGTTGAGGAGAATTTAAACATTTTAGAATTTGAAATATTTTTTCATTTACATAGGATATACTGATCATTAACAAAGCGTGGATAATTTCCCGCATATTTTTGTCTCAGTAGATTAGTTCACGCCTTCAAAACTTTTGTTAGAAACAAAATTTTCTTTTTTTACATTTTGCATAATCTTATGCTTGGTGTCTTAAGAGTATAAGGAATTAGGTCTTTGTCCCAAACTCTTATTTTTTTATTCGTAAAAATGAAATGAAAACATCAAAGGTTTACACCATCAGGATACAAAATAGTTAAAAAAATTTAAAACTGGTTCTAAACCAGTCGGTAAAATAAAAAGATCCAAAAAATTAACGTAATCATTCTTGTGACAGAAGGTTTTAATTTTTTCTCTTTTACTCTAAGGACTCAATTGTAAACTTAGATGCATTAATTTCTGCCATTTATTGGGCTTACATAAATAAGTTTGCATAATATAAAAACTTTTTCATTTTCTCTTTTGATATGTCAGAAAACTATTGAATTGGAACTTTTTATTGTTTTCTAATTATTTTTTGGATGATATTTCAGATAAGTAAACAGGTGCATTAATTTTTGCAACATATTGTGTGTACATATATAAAATTTTATAATTTTTGAAGAAAAAAATGGAAAGAGGAAAAATATTTCATTTTTTCTTTTATATTTCAGAAAACTATTGAATCGGAACTTTTTATTGTTCTTTTATAATTATTTGATAATATTTTAGATATAAGGCTCGGAGAAGATGTCGGAGAATTATTTATTAATGTGCGTGTAGGGAGGGAGTTCATATAAAGAAGATGAAACTTAAAGAAACTTGAAACAAACTTTTAATCTAAGCTGAGAGCTCAGTGATTCTTTAGCATTGCTCAGAGATACATAATGCAACAGTTCAGTGATTCTTAACTTTTGTTCAGATATACATACTGCAGCAGTTCAGTGATGCTTCAGCATTGCTCAGAGATACTTTTCTTCCTATTTTCTTAGGTTTATTCACTATAAATAGCTATCCTTTCATTGGTTTCTATCTCTAGCTATTCTACCTTAGCTTACTTCCTTCCCATTTTTTAGGTTTATTCACTATACATAGCCATCCCTTCATTGGTTTCTATCTCTGTCTATTCTACCTTAGCTTACTTCCTTCCCATTTTCTTGGATATTTTAATTTCAAAGCAAACCCTCCATAATTGGTTCTTTTCTCCAACTAACCTTCCCTGCTCCCTTCCTATCTTATTTTCACTGCATGCAGAAGTCAAGGGCGTACACAGGGGGGACATGGGGTAAGTGCCCCACCCTACACCTGTAAAGGACGGCCCCCCCCGCACTATAGAACTCAGAGATAAAAGACTTTTTAAATCTGAAACTTAAAAGTGAAGAGCATAAAAAAAAGTTTGCTGTTTGTACTGCTAGTTTTGTTTGGAGGAGAGATAAAGTAGCTTACTTGCAAGGTGATTGGACTGTATGTGTATCTTTAAAGTATCCAAGAAGCCAAATGTTTAAATTTACATTTCAAATTTTGCCCCCCCCCCCTCTCTTGATTTATTTCTGTGTACGCCATTGGCAGCAGTTCTTTCTATTTTATCCCGATCAAGCTATCTTTCCCTCGCTC